CAACTCGGTAATTTTTAAATAATATTAGTTAGATTTAACTAAAGTGAAAAATTTTAACTTGCTTTAAAAGTATAAGTGAAATTCGGAATAAAAAATTAGTTTCGAATAATTTTGAAAATTTTTGTATAATACATAAGAAATTTTAATATTTTAGCAAATATAAATATTTATATTATTAAAAAATTAAAAGCATTTTATTTTATAAATGGTTAAACTTTGATTTTAAAAATAAATTAAAAGAGAAAATTTGAGGAAAAAAAAAAAAAAAAAGAAGTTCAAGAATAAATTTGAACGTTCTTTATATACTACTGATAAAATTTGGGTATTTCAGGGAACAATCTGTAATTTTACAGGCGAGTCTTCGCGGTGAACAATTTTCCTTTCTGCGACCTGCGTGCTGGGTTGATGTATATCGGCGCAGTGTCTCAACTGGCTTCTTCAAGAGGGCAATCCCTTCAATTCGTTTAGAGATAACGAGAGCTATGGCCAATGGCGATAGAGATTGGGATTTCTATCTCAGAATCTTATCCAATAGCGCCAGGGACTCCAGCTTAGCCAATGATCCTTCCGCTGATCCATCTCTTATCCAATCTGTGAGTTTCTTTGTTACACGTATAACCGAGATTAATTATTGTGATACTCGACGAAATTTTTAACGTTGTACGCAAACGATTGATGAGGTTGGTTATGATAATTGTTGTGGACGTGTTTTTGCTGCGATCTGTTTGAGTAGGTGAAGAAGTTATATGAATTGTGTAAGGCTGAGAACTCCGAGGATTTGGTGGCTAGGGTTTATCCACAGTTTAACAAGCTCTTTCAGCGCTCTGTTGCCTCGATATCCCAATCTCAATCTCGCACGTCTAACGGGCTTCTATTACTGGTGTGCTTCGCCTCCCCCTCCTCCTCCTTATCCTTCCCTGTATCGGTTGCTTAGATGCCTGAAACTTTGTTGCGAACATATACTTCGAGTTAAATAGATATAAATTTTGATGGAAATTAAAAAATGAAAAGAAATTACTGATACAGGAATCCTGTTCTTATCCCCGTTGTTTATATCTATATGTTGTCTATCAGGCAATTCTGCAGTTTTTCCTTGATTTCGGAGACACGGTCCTCCATGATCCTGATCCTAGTCTAAGGGCATTCTTTCGGACATGTTTGAGCTGGTAATGATATATTATCTTTCAATTTTTTTGGTTCATGCCATTTGCGAATAAATGCTTATTGTATGTTTCTGTACATATTACATTTCCTCAATTTTGGGGGAGCATGGGAATCTTATTCTGATGTAAATTGCAGTGAGTTTGCAGATTTTTGTTGTTGCAGAGGGCGACCACTTTGATTTTTCTAAAATAAGAAAACGGGGAAAAAACTTTTTAAGTTCTTTTCCCCGAACTTTGCTTTCC